TCTCAATATTATTGAGTTTGATCCAATTCTATATTTGGTTCTTTTTTATTTTTATATTTCTTTTTTGATTTACTTGGTTATTTTATTAATTTTTTATATACACTAAATGCCATATTTATATCATTTACATTACAAAATTATTTGATTATAGTTAAATTACTTGTACTTATATATAAAAACTTGATGAAAAAACACTTTCTTTTCAACTCCACTAACAATAGCTTTAATTGCGAGGCCTTGTTTTACACAGCAAATTAATTGAAGAACGGTTGAAAGGACTATCGACCAGCCCATACTTGGAGATGAGCAATCAACAACTCCAAGTCTTTGTCCTTCCGGTTATTTATTTATTTACTTAGACATAATTGGTTAGATAATTTTTAATTATTGCTACAATTTTAATAAAATTAACATATAATAAACCACTTAACAGATTTTGAGCCATGACAGGAACTACTCGTGTCGTACGGAATGTATGTCTTGGTTTCATCAAGGCAAGGAACTAGTAATTATGTTTTTTTTTTCTTTTACCTAACCAAAATCATATGTTGAACTGCTACCAGATGTATTTACTTGCAGTCAAAACATGGTCGGCATCAATAGTAGCTTTCCTACTTTCATAGTTACTTTGTTGAAAGCATGAATTGGTCTTTCCATGTAATGATCGACTGACATAGATTTAGGTATTCATTATTTTCTTGAATAAACGACTTACTAGGGATCCCACCGGAATGATAGAAAGGTTTAAATTTTATGAATCCAAAGAAATATTTTCAAGTAAAATTTATCAAAGATAAATAACCAAATAAATAATATAACTTAAAATATTTAATTAAAAGAATGCAAAACCATTAAAATAAAAAAAAAACAAGTTTGCAAAAAATGAAGCACGATTACCATTTAATTCATTATGCATCATTACATGCATTATTTATCTATCGTTACATGTTCACAATATATTTTGTGAATGAATGAAGGCTCCGATACTGGGATTCACTTAATAAGCTTGCAAAGGTGAGTTTTCCTGAATAAAGCTCTAAGTGAGAGAATATCTTCGGATCCTATTAATATGATGAGTGCATTTGGAAAATATTCTTAATAAAAGGTTTGTGTCATGCATTTCATAATTACATCATGTACATGTCACATCCATAAAATTAAATAATAAACTTTAGGTTGCTAATAAAATAATAAACAATGATTAAGGAAATAAAAGAATAAAATTAAAGATTAAGGTTCCAATAGGATAACACATGATTAAATAGTACCGTTTGTTGAACAGGCGTCACAAGACTGCTAACCTTTCCTAATCCGTAGCCATATTCCCAAACCCAACTCTAAAACTCGTAAACTAGATTATTGATCTTTAGATGAACTTAAAATCATTTTGAGACCTTGTTGAATAGAACGAATCAAATAAGTGGCCAACCACACCTTATAAAAAAAAAATATTAATGGTGACTCCCAAAATTTTTCACATCATACGTAGCAACATTAAGAGCTTTTGGATGTATGATATATGGTCCAATTGCTCTGCCCTAATGCACAAAGATGGGTCCTCAAAGAAGATTTAAAATATATGTTTGATATGAATCTCCATTTATAACTAAATATTTAGAACCATTCATAGGAGATTTACTCATACTAAGGTTTGCCGATGTCATTTTGATGAAACAGTTTTTCCACTATTAAGGAGAGGGATGAAATAAATAGCTAAAAAAAATTTCTGGGAATGTATTATCATTATCTTGTTTTCATCCTCACATAAATCAATGTGAACTTGAAGTGCAAAAGATAATTCATTTGTTAAATATAACAAATCAGTTGTTAGACATATTTATTGACCTAAAGAGAATAACAAAATTTATATACTAGTTGTAAAGCTCTTATTAGAATTGATATCCTTGTAGGATAAGGCACGCCAAGAGTGTGAAAAACCAAGAGGTTCCAAAGATAAAACCCTAAAAAAAATGAGCAACTATACAAAATGTTACAAAAAGGAAATAGAAACTTCAGAAGAGACATTTGACATAATTGATGAAAAAAGAAATTCAAGTACCTAAAATCAATGAAAATAAAGAGATCTTAATAAATAATGTCATGATAGAAAAAAGATAGAACAGTAATGAAATAAATATTGAAGATATTTTTATATATACTGTAGTGCTCAATATTATTAAAAAAATAAGGATCTTGAACTTACATATGTTAAAGAAGGTAGAAATAGAAATAATTAGCCAATGTGAAAAGATGCAATCAATATGGAATTGAATTCACTTGCAAAACATGAAGTTTTTGGACCTATAGTCTGTACATCAAATGGTGTAAAACTAGTGAGATATAAATAGGTATTTGTACAAAAAAGAAATGAGCAAAAAGAGATATAAAGCATGACTTGTCCCACGAGGTTTTACCCAAGAACATGGTATTGATTATAAAGAGACATATTCTATTGTGGTGGATGTAATTATAATTCTATATTTAATTAGTTTGACAATACATGAAAAGATTGAAATGTGTCTAATGAATGTAATTACAACCTATTTATATTGCTCACTTAATAAAGATATCTATAAGAAAATTCATAAAGGATTTAAGTTACCTGAAGTATACAATTTGAATTCTTAAGAAATTTATTTGATCAAATTAAATTAATATGTATATGGATTAAAGTAATCTAGATGCATGTGATATAATTGCCTTAATGAATGATTGTTGAAAAAAGGCTATAAAACTGATTCTATATGCCTATATGTTTTTATAAAAGATTGGATATGAATTTGTTATAATTGTTGTTTATGTTGGTGGCTTGAATATTATTGGAACTCCTAAAAAGTTATCAAAAAATGTGAGTTATTTCAAAAAAAAATTGAGATAAAAGACCTTGGAAAAATAAAATTTTGTTTGAATCTTCAAATTGAATGCTTAACAAATGAAATATATGTCCATTAATTAAATTATATAGCAAAAGTGCTAAAATGATTCTATATGGACAAAGTAAATCCATTGAGTTCAACAATGGTTGTAAGGTCACTAGATATGAAAAAATGACCATTTTCGATCTTGTAAGGACGATGAAGAACTTTTTAATCTTGAAATACTATATATTAGTGCAATTAGAGCACTTATGTATTTTGCTAGTACCACACAACTTGGTATATTATTTGCTATAAATTTATTATAATTCTTCTCTAACTTGAAGACATTAGAATGAAATTAAACATATATTGTAATATCTTCGAGGAACAATGGACATGAGCTTATATTACTCAAATATATCAAAATAAAATTTAATTTGTTATGCAAATGCAGAATATTTATTTAATCCACACAAAGCTCAATTCTAGACAAGTTACTTATTTTCATATAGAGGTATGACTATTTTATAGTGTTTTGTAAAACAATCTATAGTTGATACTTCTTTTAACTATGTATAAATTCTAGTTATTCATGAGATAAGTCGTGAATGTATCTTGTTAAGATTTGTAACTTAACATATTTGAAGAACATGTGGCTTGACAACCAAGAAGGTAGTTTCAACAACATTATATGAAGATAATATCGGTTGCATATCACAGTTAAAGAAAGAATACATTGAAAGCGATAGTACAAAACATATTTCATCAAAATTCTTCTTCACTCATAATCTCTAAGAAAATGTAATATTAATGTTCAACAAATTCGTTCAAGTGACAATCTAACAGATTTATTCACCGAAGCCCTTCCTATTGCAATGCTTGAAAAGTTAATACAAAAGATTGAAAATCGTTTTAAAGGTTTTAAATAATGCAGTTATCAGTGGGAATAAAATACAAATTGTACTCTTTTCGTTTATCAAGGTTTTTCCCATTGAGTTTTTCTAGATAAAGTTTTTAATGAAGTAATATTTAAAAAATGTATTCTTGAAAAGTATTATGTACTTTTTTTTCTTCAATCATATTTTTTTTTCCATGAAGCTTTTTCCCAGTAAAGTTTTAATGGAGCATATTTTTAATATAATGGATATTCAAAGGAGAGTATTATGAATATTTTTTTTTAAATTTCTATTTATGTTATATATATCTAAATTGGGATATAGTTTATATTAGACTAAGATTAGGACTTAATTCATCCATCTAATACTTTAGTATTATGTTCATCTAGTAAATTTTATTTAGATAAGGGGTTATTAGTCTATAAATAGATTTTTCATTTCATTTATAAATATACACTTGAACAAAATTTTATTATTATTTTTAAATATTTTTTATATTTATTTTTTTAAATTATATGTCATAACAGAAATAAAATAATAACTATGTCCAAAAGAATAGACTACAAGTTGAATTATGAGCTATCATTGTGGTTCACATTTCTCCTCTGTAGGAAGATTATGGACTGACAGCAGGCTGGGCTTTGCTGTGTTGTTTTTGTTGCTTTGGACTTTCCCGGAGCTTGGCTGATCCGGCCCCAGAGCATCGAGCGGGTCATGGTTAGTTTCTGTCTTTTGTTTTTCCATAATTCAATTGAGACTTTGCGCCCCAGCAGGCAGTTCATAGGTTGACTTTTATTAGTGAGCTAGGTTGAAAGAAAATGTAGGCTACTAACCATGGCAAGAATAAATCAAATGAATATTCATTAATTAGTAACCTTCCGATTGTGTTGATGTTTGCAATTGTTAGCGAACGAGTGTATTAAGTTATAGTTTTGTTAGCTACAAAAACAACTTTGATTGACGAGGCGGCAGCAGCCAACTAAAGACGATCAAAAGAAACAAGAAAATAAAGTCTTATTGATCAGAAGGGTGAAGTAACCAAGGGAGATTACAAAACAGAGGAAACCAACCAAGCTTTGTGAAACGAAACGTCCAGCAATCTCGTCAACTTCATGACGCCAACGTAGACCAAGTTTGATTCATCTGCACCAAGTTTGATTCATCTGCCTGTTGATTTATTTTTGGGTGTAACAATGCTGCACAAACATACTATATAAGCTGTTTGCCGATGAGTCTGCTAGAGGTTATCTCAGATTAAGAAATTTCAAAGTGCATTTTTCTAACCGATGGACAATCTAAATAGAGGCCTAAGTGAAAATGTATGAAATTGTTTCATATCTAATTCGAAGACTCTCTCTCTTGGGTCGTTAACTTCCAAAAGGATATTTCATATGACACAAAAGCCGGCATTATACATACATAGATATGTCTCCAGCATATTCTTTGGTATTGGTAAAAAAAAGGGACTCCTTCTTCCTACTACCACGCGAGAAGATCATTATCTGCAAAAATTACATTAGAACAATTTTAATCCTCTTCAGTCTAATTTTTTGTTAGAGGTTTTGAAGGAGGGGGAAATGGCTACACATAAGAGGCTAGCAGTAGGCACACTGGTATGGTTGGTATTGGCATCAACAGCAACAACAACGGCCAGAGCTCATGTGTTAGCCAAACCGGGGTGCCCTGCCCATTGTGGGAATCTAAGCATCCCATACCCGTTTGGTACAAGGGAAGGCTGTTTTTTAAACGAAAACTTCCGCATCACCTGCAATGATTCAGCCAACTCCTCCACAGCATTTTTAGGTTATACTAATTTTGCTGTTACCAATATCAGCACGGAAGGTCGGTTGCAGATATTGGCCACAGTTGCCCGAGATTGTTACAAAGCTTCAGGGGAGCCTGTGATCCCACGGGTACCATCCTGGTTTCCGTTGTCAATTTTCAACGTCTCTAATACCCGAAACAAGTTTACAGCTATTGGCTGCGACACTTATGCGTACCTTAATGGTTTCGTAGGCAATAAAAGCTACAGCGCCGGGTGTATGTCCCTATGTGATCGCATTGAAGACGTGGTTGATGGATCTTGTGCAGGATTCGGATGTTGCCAGATACAGATTCCGGGCGGGCTGAAAAATATTGATGTGATTGCATATAGCTTTACAAACCATACAAAAGTGTCCGATTTCAACCTTTGCAGCTATGCTTTTGTTGTCGAAGAAAGCCAATTTGAGTTCTCCTCGGATCTTGTTCGATCTATACCAGAAGATTACAGGTTCCCTGTGTCGCTTGATTGGGTAGTAGGCAATGAAACGTGCGAGGAAGCTGAGAATACATTGAATTTCACATGTCATCGGAGTGAGTGTTACGAACCTGGCATAGGTCTGGGCTATCTTTGCAAGTGTTTAGACGGGTATGAAGGGAATCCCTACCTCCCAGATGGCTGCCAAGGTGAGTTTTAATACCTGCTGACACTTTGAAAAGTTTTGAAGATGAACTGGAAAAGAAGAGGAGAGTACACTTTTTGATAAAGAGGCATAACGCTTTTTCAGGTCAACTAACAGCCACAGAACTTAAGACAATACCAACCTTTTTTTCCTCTTCAATTTTGCAGCCTCAACTGATCTGCAATAATAACGCATTCTCCATTCAAAAATTATCCACACATCACTTTTTTTCTTGTTAATCGAAGAAGGGGGTTTATGTTGACTACTAGATTGATGGTACTATCTATTTTAGCAGATATTGATGAGTGCAAGATTTTGCAACCCTGCCACCAAAATGCAGAATGCTATAATTCACCAGGAAGTTTCAAATGTATTTGTAGCGGTGGTTTTGAAGGCGATGGCAAAAAAAATGGAACTGGTTGCAGTTTCGTACATAAAACTAAGGGGTTTCCCCTTGTTAACGTTGTTCTAGGTAAGGACATTACATTATCTTTTTCTGAAAAATTAATGATTGATTTATATTATTTAATTTATTTTTTACATTTTATCAAATTTAGATTAAGTTGATTTGATCTTTGATAAAGAGACAATATTATAGTCCACAATATGATCTAGTAAAGTAGGCTAACCTCTATTAATGTCATATGTGGTTTAGTGTAAACTTGTGTAGGAGACCTTAAATCTTATGATGGGTGGGATTAGAGAGTCATTGTATAAAGATATGACTAAGTCTCCTCTTTAGTCTATAGAAAACATTAAGAATCTCTCTCATTGGAGAGTTATAGATCAAGGAAGATGAGGAATGCACTTAATTCAACAGTTAATATATATTTTTTTATAAGTAATTCGATAGTTAATTTGGTTAGTATTATTTCTACTATCAAATCATGCATTAAGAATCAAGTATGCTTTTGTATTTTAAATTTCTACTATGGTAAATTTTAAGTATATTAGTTATACATAAAGTTAACAATTGGTATCAAAATATATAACTTATATAATTAGGGTTTAGAACCCTAATGAATTTTTTAGAAATGTTAGCTCAATAATAATATAAAAATATCCAAAAAGGGGTGAATTAGATATCTAAAAATTCTTTTCCTCAAATCAAATTTCCAATGAAGGCAAGTTAAAAACAATTTTTACAAATTTGTTTTTCTATCAAAATGTGTCAAAACTAAATTGAAGGGTAAATTAAGGAATAAACAAAATAAGAACAAATTTTCAAAACTCTTCAAAGGAAAGTGAAATGCACAAATCCTGTTGAGCTTTTCTTTAGGACTTTTTCTGTGCTCAGGCCATTGTCTATCTTAATGGTAGGTGTGTCTAACAATTGTACAAGCTTTTTTTGCCCAAACTAAATTTGCTTATGCTATGGGAGTCTTATATGACCCAAGATGGTTGTGAGGCTAATAAATTTGCTTTTAAAGAAAAAAAAGAAAAAATTTTCAAAACTCTTCAAAGTAAAGTAAAATGCACAAGTATAAATAGTGAAGAGTAAAAAGAAAATGTAAAAGAAATTTGTAGAGGTTCAGCCCTTCCTTGGTGCCTGAGTTCTCTTGCTTAGCAAGCTAAGGAGTTTACTACATTATTGAATAAATACAATACAATGTCTTTTAAAGGTTTAAGGATAACCTTTATCTTTTCAAGGTTAAAGCACATCTATTACCTTTTCAAGGTTCCAGCACAACTTTTAAATACTATCTTTTGAAGACTAAGGTATAACCTCTATGCCTTTTAAGGATAGAGAACAACCTCTACATACCACCTTTTGAAGGCTAAGGTATAGTTTTTTTCTCTTTTACAAGATTGAAGCAAGTATACGTCTCGAAGGTGGGTTTTGCTAAGTAAATAGAAGGTTATAAGTGTTTGAATGATACAAAGATGTGCATGAATGATATGAATGGAAGTACAAATAATTTGTAGCATAAGGATAGCTTCAATGCTATGTGAAGGAATGTGAATAGCTTTCTCTAACTTGGTTTCTCTTTTTTTTTTTTCATAAGATTTGATACTTGAGTATTTGATGTTTTTCTTCACTCTTCTTACCTTCTACATATGTTGAAAAAGTTCTTTTTATAGTTGGAGAAGTTTTAAAGCTGTTGGAGAAGGTTTAGTGAGGAAATTAATAGTTTTTCTTTTAATTTTAGTGTCTATTGGCTCATTTTGGACTTCAAGTATCGAAAGTTTTCACTAGGTATCAATACATTTGGTCTAAGTATCAACACTTTTGAGATAGAAATCCATATCTAGCATCCAAAAGCATTCTGTGTAAAATGTATCGATACCCAATACCAAGTTTTCTATATTTATAGCTTAAAACATAAAAAATGCTTCTTTTTGAATCCAATTTGATGCCAAATACTTGGACATTTCAAAAGCAAATGCAAAGTTGTTTAAAACTTATTTAAACAAGTTCAAAACCTATTCAAACAAGTTCAAAACTCATTCAAGCAATTTCAAAACTCATTCATACAATTTTGAAACTTTTCACATGGAAATACTTAAGCACTTGCATCTAAGTATTTGGTTCATTGGATAGTACATTATCCCCCTGCTTAAAGAGCAGGGTTTGATCCCTTCTCCCCCAATTATAAAAAAAAAACACTTAGGCACTTCAAAAGCAAATATACAAGAGTTTTTAACATTAATAAATTAAGTTCAAAAACTCATTCAAACAACTTCAAAAATCATTCAAATAAGCTCAAAGATCATTCAAACAATTTTAATCATTTTTTTCATTTCAAAACTATAATCATTTTAAATCTAATAAAACTAATAGAATTATATATTGATTGCATTAATCATGCATGACTACATGTAAAGTTCTTGTGTGATTTTTAAATTTGTGTAATTATATCATTAAAATTCATAATTCCCTTATGCATAATACAATTGATTGATGATTTATTATTGGTAATACAATGGATTTGTAAAATTAAAACAATGTAATTGATTGAAATTATGTATGAGAAATTGGATCTTTCAAGAGTTGTAGGTTTTAATAATTTTAAGCTAAGAAAATAACTTAATTATATGTATCTTTTGTTAAATCACCTTGAGATTATTATTTTTAATGAGTTAAGATTGTTATTGAGGTCTTAAAATTTGATTAAACCTATCGATTTCATCAAAAAAGGTGTCGCAATGTAAGAATTTTATATTCGTCGGTTTGGTCTTTGATGTAGAACATCTAGCAAATAATATCTTAAAGCACGCTGAGTAGCAGAAACCAAAACAAAAGCCCAAAAATCATAAATGGACATATTCATAGTTTTAATATTTGCTTTATTTAGTTAGGAATCTTACATAAGAATTATAGGTATAATAGAATTTCTTTTTTATTTAATTTAATTGTATTAGGACTTTAGGATAGTCATGTTCTAATTACGAATAAAACATTCATTTTATTTAAATCTCTTGTTAACTATTCTAGTTGTACTAGACAATCAGAGGTAGAGATTTGTTAGAACTTGGGCCTATAATACTATAAATAGGGCCCTTAGGCTTAGTTTTTGAATCATCGAATAATATTACTAGGTTATACTCCCAAGCATGAGTTTAAATTTTCAATATTTGAAACTTGGTTATTAACCTTAAAAGCATAGTTAGGAGCTAGCCTTTATTTCCATGCTAACTCGCTACGTCAGTTAGTAGCAGAGTAGAGAAAACTCATCCAATCTAATGGCAAGTGACCTAGTTATAGTAGGCAGCGGTTCTCATGACGAAGATCAGGGAATTGAGACCTTACAAACTATAGTGCAAGATCAAGAAGTGACGATCAGGGCTTTGGAGCAACTAATGGATCTCAGATTCCAGCGTTTGGAATGATGTTTTGAAGAAATTACAGATCGACTTGATGCTTTAGGCGTAGATGCCAATAGAAATAGGAATGATGAGAGGCCATGTATTGAAAATGGTGTAGCTCTTGGACAACCTACCGGTAGAACTGTTCCTACAAACAAGCATAGACAATTGGTCTATATGGAAGATTCAGAAGAGGAAGATGATTATGTTGCAAAAAAATATGTTGGATATAATGATTATTGTGACAGAGATACTCACGATTTCATATTAAAGGTAGATATTCCTTGCTTTAATGGGAGTCAGAATATTAAAAATTTGTTAGATTGGATTGCGAAAAAAGAAAGATTTTTCAAATATATGAAAATTCCAAAAAGAAAAAGGGTAAGACTTACCTCTTGTAGATTGAAAGGTGGGGCTCCTGCATGGTGGGAAAGGTTCCAATTTAGAAGGAATAGTGATGGGAAAGCACTAGTTAAAACTTAGTATAGGATAAAGTAGTTGTTATAGAAATATTTTCTTCCTTCTAATTATGAGCAAATTTTATTCCAGCAATACCAAAAGTGCCATCAAGGTCAGAAAATTGTACATGAATATACTATAGAATTTATGAGACTAGCAGAGCGGAATGACCTAAGGGAGATTGAAGGGCAATAGGTTGCTAGGTATTTAAAAGGGTAGAAGCCAATTAGCAGAGACAAGATAGGGGTATAGGTATTATGAAATTTATTTAAAGCATAAAATATTACCTTAAAGGCTGAACTAATGCTGCGAGAAAAAAATAGACTTGATTATTCTTGTAAAAGTTACATCGGGGATAATTATAGAGCATCTAATGACAAGAATAAATCAGTTAATGAAAATTTTGCACGTAATGATAGGTACAAGGAAGAAAGGGTAGTTGGAAAGTAGAAAGTGATAGATGCGAAAGAAAGGCATAAAGCTACAAATCCCTAAGCTAAACCAAATGCAGGAAAGTGTTTAAAATGCAATCAACCTAGTCATAGATCTAGTGATTGTCCTCTTAGGAAAGTAGTCCATATGGTGGAATGAGAAAAAGATGATGATAAGATTTGTTGTGGTCCAAATGGGGATAATGATGAGTATAAGGATGACGATGATGGCCAAAACTATGTGGTGAGAATAATGATGTTGTCTCTAAAATAAAAAGATAGTACTCAACGAAATCAATTATTTCGAACCAGGTTCACCATCACTAATCATTTATTTGACGTGATTATTGATAGTGGTAGTTACAAAAATATTATTGGTAAGGATGTTGTGGAAAGTTTGGGATTTAAAGTAGAGAAACACCCTAATCCATACACTATTGGCTGGATTAAGGCAACATAGAAGATTTATGTAACAGAACGATGTAAGGTGCCTTTTTTCATTAGTAAATACAGGGATGAGGCATATTTTGATATTGTGGATATGGTGGATATGGATGCTTGTCACCTGTTTTTTGATAAACATTGGCAATTTGATGTTGCAGCGTAACATGATGGAAGAGAAAGCACTTATAAATTAGAAAAAGATGACATAAAGTTTTTTTTACTAATAAAAGGAAGTGCCCATACCAAAGCTTTTAAAATGGAGGGGCGTACTTCATTACCCTTACTTATTCAGAGAATGAGATAGAGAATGCTTTCAAGGAGTCAAAAAAGG